AAAACTTCCCGATAGCATGGCGGCTAGCTCTGATTGGCTGTTTCTGACTGAGCGGAGTAATTATGCAGAACAGGGAGGAGATCGATTATTTTTTCAGAGATTATCTGTCTCATGTTAGGACAGCGAAAGTTTTAATACGTATGTAAAATGTATTTTTTTAAGTTAGATGCTGCAGCTTTAAGCAGGTTCGGTGTGAGAGTCACTACCAGGTGGAGCAGAAGCGAAGCTCCGTCTGTCAAATATTACTCTGTAGCGTAGCAGCGGTTCAACAGCGAGAGCAGAACCAGCGTCTTACATCGCAGCTCGAAGACTTAAATAATTTTGCGGGTTATTTGTTTATTTTTCTGACCGTCATGCTAATCCGGGTGAGTGTTTGTAGCTGTGCGCTGCTTTACCTGCTATCTGACCCTCCGTTTGTCTTTTTTACTGCAGTGAGCCTCGATGTAGCCAAACTACGTCACTTGTTTTTATGCCATATTAGCTTCGTTGTGTTGATGCATTTTGACCTGCTTCAATTTTCCGCCGCAACACGCAAACTTCCCCATTCATTCAGTGCGTTATAGTTCCACATCGCTTAGGATTTGTTGCTGCGCGTTTGCGCAGTGTGAAGGAAAGAAGAGACCAGCTGCACAGGCAGGCTGCGAAATGAGATGCAGGTGATCGGTTTGTGTGATCGTTAACAAGAAACCGTGATCGTCGATCACCGATCATACACTTTTTCACGGAAATCGGCCGATTATGATCGGTGGCCGATCGATCGGCACACCTCTACAATTTACTCAAGAGATGTTTGAGGAAAATGTGAAATGAAGGCAGTAAAAAGACAACAGTTGGAGAAATAATCTGAAACTGGAGGAGCAAACTGAAGCCCATCCATGTTTTAAACGATGTTGTTGACTATTTACTCCGGTACTGTACCCATATGATGTTCAGATATCAATGCCCATGTTTGCCATCTCAGAACCAATTTCTCTTTGCACAATCTTGTCAGTATATCAAATGGTGGCAAAGTCAAAAATGATCTTGGAGAACCTAAATCAAAACAAAAAAGCAACAACAAAAAAAAAAATCACATGTGGCTGTTTGCATTCAAGGCTTAGGCATATACATTTCATTTTCCCCCCGCTTTTTTTGTTCTTGTTACATCTCACTTTTTACTCAGGCGAGCCCAAGAGCAAACAGTCCTTACCATTCAACTGGTTTGACAATAACAACAGCAGAGCACCAATTCACCGTCCACCAATGATGTTTCTGGAACAGCTTAATGAAAACTGAATAACACTCATCTCAAATGATTGGTTTCACTTTAATCTCACTTTTTCCAGAACTACACTGGTATCTTGATGCACTGGTGTAAAACTTTATGTATAATTGAAGTCACTTTAAAGCTCCACTGTAGCAGAAAAACCCAATTATTCATCAGCAGCACTCGTAATTGGCAAACCCAAGGTCTCTGCAGGTTCGCGTCAGCAGTTTCTTCCGACTCGTTTTCTAATGTTAAACTGATGCCAGGATTTTTATTCATGTCAACACAGCATATCTACTTTATGTGATTCAACATTCTGGGTGCTGCAACAGAGTTTTCAAATTGCGGTGAACGTTATGGTTTCATTGCATGATAAACGCCGTCTTTTTCTCGTTAGAAGAGAAAACAACAACCTAGAAACACATAAGCAGCTTCTTAGTTCTGCAAGAGTAAAGGTTATGTACAGGGTTACTGTACTTCTTAAAGATTAGTTACTATAAAACTTGCACTGCTCTGTGTAACATTATGTACTATATTCGCTCTCTTACAAATTCGTTCATTTATTTGCCTAACAAAAAGCAATGACTCTTGCAATATGTCTACAAGTTATTAAAAGATGTTTTGTTGTGAAATACTTTAGCTCTTTTGGCAACAAAGCATGGAAGTAGACATTTTATGGTATATTAATAAAACATGGCAAACCATTATTAAATTGTTCGTAGTTTCTATAGGTCACACATCCTGATCAGCCATGAGACAATGATTAATGACAGCTAAAATGGAGAACTCATTTTACTTTTAATGAAAACCTACATCCTGTCAGCTGGGTGTTTAATTGAAACTTGAAAATTATCTAAGTAATTTCTATAGACTAATGATGCACCAATCCAGGATACAACACTTCCTATTGTAAAATGTCAGAGGGAGATTATTTATTATTCAAATAATGACGATTAAGAATTTAATTGCCCTCAGTAATTTGCCTATATTGCACTGGTGGTTGGATAGGCATATGCATCAATTCAAAATGTAATTAACTGCCTTCAAAAAAAAGAATGTAAGTATTGAAAATTGGCACAGAATCACAAAAAATAAAGTGAAATATTGTTTTTTTTTCTTGCCTTTATAAATACTGGCGAAATATGGAAAAAAGTTAGATTTAGACGTAAATCACAATCTGTCACAAAACTTCTGTGGGGCATGCAGAACATAACCACTGTAAATGTCATGGGAATGTGGCCTTCAGAGCTAACTTCACAGATTCAGCCTATGATGTCTAACGCTTACACATCAGTCACTCAGAGAGAGGGATGGAGGCGACGGGGTAGAAAGCGCCAAAAAAAAACACGAGGAACCACCCACTTCCTATGACATGGCAAAGCTACATCCATTAAAAAAAAAATGGTGAGACGCCAACATGGTAACGTGGTGTGCCTCAGTGCTAAGCAAGACTGTAAAGTAATGCACCACACAAAGCCCTCCACTGCAGAAAGAACACATCACTCAGCATTTCTGAATTATTTACAGCCCTCAACCACATGGCCCTTCGCTCTGAGTAAGTTCCCTCGTTAAAGCATTAGTACAAGCCTTCTGCACCGAAAAGCGGGTTCGGGTTAAAAGAGGTGTGTGTGTGTGCGTGCGTGTGTGCGTGTGTGCGTGTGTCACAGAGCGCGGCAGACTGAGAAACTCCGTTTTACAGTGTGTACGGTAGTCTGTTTGATCTTTGCGCTGACAAATTATCAATGTTTTGTGCGCACAATGCCGTTGACGGGAACCATCTGCGGGACCATCTGTGAGGGCTCTTCACCTCGACAATGTGAGAGAGCCGTAGCGCTTAAATACACACAGATACATCCGCTAGGCAGGCACGGCTCCAGGACCTGCCTCGCTGGAGAGCAAACAGGAAAGACCGTCCAGTGACCGACAAGCTACCGTGCTGCTACCCACCCGGCCACAAATGTTGGCTCTGATCAACAGACCCACAACAGCCAGGTGCTGCGTTTTCCTTTCCTAAAGCAATTCGATGCTCAGTGAGTCCATGTCAAACCCTGTACTCTGCAATCAAAGGGATTTGCCTTGAATTTTTCAGATGAAATGTCCCCTGATCCTAATTTTCTTTGACTGTTTTTATGTCATTCACAAAGTACTTGTGTCGCAGCCTTTCTTTAGAACTCGAGCATGTCTGAAAAAAAAAAAAAGCAATAGGACATGGAGCAGTGAATTAACTGCACTCCAGTAAGAGCCTGCAGCCAGTCTCATCTTGCAAGGCTGATGGTGATTCACTCTTGTATGCCCCGAGGGGTAAGAGGTGGGACTCTGAGAACTGCTTTGCTGATGCATTGGTCAGTCAAGCTCCTTTAATTCCCTCCCATGATCCCTTCCCATCTCTGGGAAACAAGCGCCAGACAGAAGCTTTAAATCAGAAAGGCTGCTTGTAAAGACACTCAGCGGCTGTCCCCAGTAAACTGCAACATGCCGAGTAGAGATACTCCACATGGTTTGGGAATTCTCAGCTGGCACATTTTTAACTGCGGGTTATCCGACTCTCCATCCAGGCCTGCAGATGAACTAGCAGGTGCAATTCCCCCGAGGCATTTTCAACACATTCCAGTTGGCAACTGCTCTGGTCCAGAGACTAGAGACTTTTGAAAAGCTTTGGTACAGCTTTTGGGGCAAAACAGGATGAGGCGCATTGCCAATAAGGACATTTGGGTTTTGGTTGATGTTTTTCTTCGTTGCAGGCAGCAATGCTTCTTGGTCATACATCTTTCAAGTTTGAAAGCCATTTTCATTTCTTGGGGCCTCTCATAACTCCATGAGCAGGTGCACCAAATGTGGAGCCTCGATAAAGTTATTTCAGGTTCGGATCCAAACCCTGGACCATTTAATGAATGTCTTGCCCTTTTGTCTCTGAACCTCTTCTTCTCTAGCTGTTAATGGATAAAGGTCAATAGTATCATAAGATAAAAAAGCCTGTTTATTTCCTCTTAAATGGTGCCACATTTATAGGGAAAATGTATCTGTGGGTTGAGCAACAGCGTTGAGCATGTGGGTTGCACCCAAGAAAAACAGCGCAAATCCTCTGCCAAGCAGCTTTTTGTGGAGGCAGTGAGGCAGCATCTTCCTCACAGGAAAAAACAAGCTATATGTCATCATTGGTAGCAATGTCAAGGCAGACACATTTTAAGCAAACAATCCCGCATCTCCACGCTCTTAGGGTTTTGAACTCTCCAAGTCGTCGATGCCCACGGAGCAGAGTTGATCAGAGTCTACTGCTAAAATGTGAGAGCAGAGACGATGGAAAAAGGTGCCTGCATATCTGACTTCCACTCCACTGTGCAACACAACCACATTGGCTGTCTGGAAAAAATGGGAGACAACCCCACAGCAGTGTGTGACCGAACGGATGAAGAGAAGGTGTCAAACTGCTGGTCCTCTCTCTGAAGCTAAGTGAATAAATTGTTTGCCAGATTGCCATTGTGTGTTTTGTTTCTTCAAACGTCAGTCATTTATTTGTTTCATCCAATAAGTGAAACAAACAAAAAAGAGTTGACAGGAGAATAAGTTGTTTGGCACTGGCAGGGAGGATTCTGCGAGTTTTGTTGTGTTTTTTTTACAGGGGAAGCCCTCAGCTCACACAGAGCTGCGGAGAACAACGGGGATGCGATTGTCCCCGTCAACTCTGAGCAGCTTCCCCGTCTCTGATGAAGAAAAGCATCCCCACAGCATGACGCTGCCACTTCCATGTTTCTAAAAAAGAGATGGTGCAATCAGAGTGATGTGCAGTGCAATACTTGAATGCATTTTCTTGTGCATGTAAGTGGTAAAGGTTGAAACGGTATTGTGGTCCAAAGACTGTAGAATGCATTGCAAATGCTTTGTTTGGCACAGCTTTTGATTTAAAAAAAAAAAAAAGATGAGGAAGACTGACTTTATACTTCATGTGATACTCTAGGGCTTTAGAAATAATAGAGAAAGGTTCGAGGATCTTGCTGGCCACTTTCCATGACCCTGCTCAGCAAGTGCATGCCCACATCATGATGCTGTCACCTCTTTATTACAAGGGGCAATCGGAGTGATCTTATATATTAGTTTTCCGTCACTTGTGGTATTATGCATGTAAAACAAAAAGAAAATAGTAAATATTTCTGGTGTGGAGACTGCTGAACGCTTTAAAAAAAATGCTTAGAGAAAAAAAGGGGGTCAAAATTGACTCTGAATGTAAACCGTAAGATTTTGAAATCGCCGCAAAAAGCTGACAAGTGTTGCTGACATTTTGTTTTAAAGCCCATAACAATTATCTCTGCTTTTACCAAACTATCACACAGCTACGGCACGGTTAGTCGTCAGAAAATCTCGGTGTATAGATCCCAATCCACGTCTCTGATTACAATTTGAAAACGAAGCCACTCCCTTCTGAAGCTCTGACACAAATGGCAGAATGATGCGTCTCTCGTCTTAACGAGTTCGCTATTAAAAACCTACAGAAATGTAAAGCGTGACACGTGATGTGGACATACATGGACTGTGAAGACCGCCGCAGAATACAGAGTCACCCACCTTTACAAACTGTGACCATGGTAACGGCAAAATCAAAAGACGACAGTCAGAGTGATGAAATGCTTTTTTGTGCGTGTGCGTGTGCGTGTGTGTGTGTGTGCGTGCATTTGTGTTCTGTGTTTTCATGGTACCTGCACCAAATTTAACATCTCCAAAGCAGAGCAGGTCACAGCTGCAGCTGGCACAGTTGAAAAGAGAGGAAGACATTCTGAAGACATGGGATTATGGGTACGACAGCATCCGGCTTTAAATAATGCAGTTGGTGTGCACTGGTGTTCTTACTACATTCCTCCATCTTTTTTCATGTTTTACCCAAAAAATACTCGTGTCCAAGAAGCTCTCTGCCTCTGATTTTCACTTGTTCCACGTTTCTCTTTTGTTCTCTAGTCCTTCCTCTACCAACAAAAACGACGACAGCCTAGCAGAAACACAAAGAAACACGGAGAGAGGGGTGTCGGCCGTTCACCATACCGTGGTTGCTCATGTGAGGGAAGGCAGCAGCAGCAGATATGTCTCCGACTGTTCATTCAGTCTTTTCTCCCCTCCCCCAATTTATCCCTGTACTTCAGGTCTATACATTGGAGATGGTGGAGGAGGCAGACTTGCATTTTTTTTTCCCCCTCCACCCCTTTACCTTATTTTCATTATGGTATCAGTGTCAATAATCCACACTGGATCTCTCTGACCCTGCTGTGCAAACATCTACAAATCTAACAGATCACAACCTGTAAACAAGAGAATCACCTGTCCAGTGACACAGCTGGAGTTTAGAGCTGCCCTGCTCTTAGCAGATGTTTTTTTTTTTTGTTGTTGTTGTTTTTTTTTTGTTTTTTTTTGTAAGCTTCAAAGATGTTTTCTCTTTCCAGGCTGCAGTCACATGAAGCCCCAGCATGCGCTTCAAAAGAAAAGAAAAAAAAAAAATCCTGCAGCAACGCCCAGGGACTGCAACAACTCAATCTCCAAAATATCTGACCGGTGCTGCTTTTTTATGTTGGATCTGCAACAAGGAAGTGCAGTTTTGTTTGGGAGGGGTGGGGGGGAAAGGGGGTTACTCTGTACTTGCTGTGAACAATGCTGAGGGTGGAGTTAAAACATAACCTACTACACCATGTGTAATGTTCATAGCTTGTCAGCTATGAATAAACTTAGTCCAAAATCACAGTACTTCTTCTGCAAACCATTAAGGAGTCAATAAGTATCACCACCACTATGGGAGTAAGGATGCTTTCATTTTATTTACTCTGCTGCTGCCTCAGATTTAACAGGGGCGCCCAACATGCATACAGAGTACAGCGCACTCATTCACAAATCTATTTCTCAAATCATTCCCCCCCCCCCTCCCCCCAATAAATTAACACAAGCAATGAAATATGTTCCGTCCTAAGAGGTGAAACACAGTTCCTCTCCCTGGCTGTTCTTCTGAATGAAGAGGTGCATTCATTCAGCTGGCACGTTTAACAAATTCTGATGCCAAAAAAAAATAAAAATAAAAAAAGCAATTCACAGGGTGAAAATACAGTGTTTCGATGAAATCGTGGAGCCTACCTGAGAATCCAGCCGTGCCTCTCTGTCTCCCCTCTCTTTCGTAGTGCTGTCAGGGAATGATGCGGACTAGATTTCTGTGCACTGCCGGGGTCCAACAACAGAGTTGTTAGTCATTGCGCATGCTGCCACTCACCGAGACCAGTGCTTCGTTTGTTTATTTGTCATACACTGCGCTTGGAGGAGATGCGTTCCGCTATCCTGCTGCTGCTGCACACACGCACCGTGGATCAACACAGTGCGTGGGGAGCTGGCTACCCTGCGTGGAAGATGGAAAGCCCTTGGTACCGTGGGAAGGAAACCCCTGGATCTGAAGTGATAACAGTATGATGCTTAAGTGGGCAGTCACCACCTGATCCAGTTTTCTTTAGAACTGTCTAAATTTATCTCCCCATCCAGACAGCGCTATTGAGAAATCACTGTCAGTTTCATTGCGCATTGGCAAATGGGTTTACTGTGGACTGGTCCTGCATGTATACATATTTTTTAAAAAAATAATAATAAAATAAAACAAACAAACAAAAAACATATGCTCTTCTGAACTTTATCTGAAGGAATCGTTCATCTGTTTTATTTTATAAGTATTAATTACCCTATTGAGTTTATTTTCACACGTATCAAATGTCCTGAAATGTTTCTGGTTCCTTTATTAGCTTGTAAGCCATATTTATGCTCACACAAGCTGGGGTAATGTTATTTTACTCCAACAATTTAGAATCATAAAGAAATCTTAAATGCGAAGGATTCACAACCTAGTCAAATTTAACAGCGGCCACACTACGCCATCTAGTGTTCCTATTGTTTATTACATCACAAAATGATCAAATCTATGAACCAGGCTGTTTCTAAATAGCACATTAAATGAAATCGCAACACAATTTAGCATAGCGCTTAATTAATTATTTTTGCACTTGAAATAACTGGGTCCAATAGAATATGAGTCCGTTTTCGATGGTTATCGTCTGTGCCACACCCACAACAAACGAAAATACCAAAGACCACTGAGGTAGCAAGATAATTCCACCACCGAACTTTCTTGTTTGAGATACTTAATAAATTCAAGTAAAACTGCATCAGTAGTGCAGTGACAAAGTTGTAATAAAGACGGGGTTGTTTTGAGTTATCAATTGTCACACAAATTTGCAGCATGAAGCTAACAAAGTTTACTTATCCTTAATTAAGCTACAGTGGAAAGCCTATGAAATTTAAGCTATTTAACCTTTTGTATATTTATTAATATTATTATTATTATTATTATTATTATTATTATTATTATTATTATTATTGAAATATTAATACGTACATATGTATTTTTGTCTATGTTGGAAAGGTGTGCGAATCATCTTGTTATCGTAAAGCATTTTGTCACGTGACCTCTCTAGCGTCACCTGACTTCATGTTGCTGTTGAAGGGAAAATGGCTGCCCACCTTTCATACGGCAGAGTTAATTTAAACATTTTGAGAGAAGCGGCACGAAAAGAGCTTCGAGAATTTTTGGACAAATGTGCAGGAAGTAAGGTAAAAAAAAAAAAAAAATCTCGCATGCATGCGTATAATTCGCCTGAATACACTCAAATTCATTACGTGGTAGTTACATTTTTCTGCTATGGCTTCCGACTAAGATGCTTACAAACAGAACAAAACAGAGATTGGTTCCTCTGACAACATAGACACAAGTTTCTCACTGTACATATAACACATGTGCTACTGAGTCCCATCAGAACAATGATCACAGGCACGTCTCAAAACTGACTCTTGAAAGGACAAAGCAGGCTAACATTAATCTTGTGGGATGGCCATGAGTCGACCCAATTAAAAATTAATTGACTCATAAACCTGGATCCAACCAATGTGAATTAAATCTCCGATTTCCTGTAGGAAATATCCAGCCAGTATGGCGCCACTTTGTTTTTAAGTTAGATATTTGTTGCACATGACTGGACTTGTTTATATAATTTTGACCATGTGTTGGTTTTAGCATATTGACAGTAACATTTAAAAATGTGCACCTTTATTTAGACAAAGTTTTGTCTATAAGGTTGCTTTAAATTGGATCTCTTATTTTTCAGTTCAGTCCCAAAAAAGCTGGGTTCAAATGCATTATGAAAAACAATGTGATATTCATGCGTCTGATTGTAATATTTTGTTCTCTTGCCTTACAGGCCATAGTTTGGGATGAGTATCTGACGGGGCCTTTTGGTCTGATAGCTCAGTACTCTCTGCTGAAGGTAAGCGGCTCTTCTGCAAAATAAATTTATGAAATTCAACACACAAACAACAAAAAAAGTCCCATTTTAATTTGTCCTATTTGTGTTTTTAGGAACATGAAGTGGAAAAGATGTTTACCCTGAAGAGCGGCAGACTCCCCTCTGCTGACGTGAAAAACATAATCTTCTTCGTCCGCCCCAGGCTGGAGCTTATGGACATCATTGCGCAAAATATATTTAGGTGGGTTCATGTTGGTTTGTAAAACAACATTGAAGTGTTTCCTCTCGAGTATGTTGCAAACTTTACTCCATGCAACATTTACGTCCTTCGTCGCCGTAGTGAAGACAAGCTGCATCCGGCACGAGACTTCCACATCCTGTTCGTGCCCCGGCGGAGCTTGCTGTGTGAACAGCGGCTGAAGGAGCAGGGAGTGCTGGGCTCCTTTGTCAACATCGATGAGTATATCCTGGACCTGATTCCTTTTGATGGTGACCTGCTTTCCATGGAGTATGAAAGCGCTTTTAGGGTGAGTAGAACCCGAATGCACAGTGCAGTAATAAACCACAGCAAAAAAAAACCTTCCTGATTACTTAAAAATAGATGGATTATGTAAAGTTCATTTAAAAGCATTTGTTCTTGTTTAGGAGTGCTATCTGGAAAATGACCAGACGAGTTTGTACCACACGGCCAAAGGCCTCATGACCTTACAGGCGCTCTATGGTACCATCCCTCAGATATTCGGGAAAGGAGACTGTGCGCGTGTAAGTGAGGATCCGTGTGATACTGAGACACCTGACTGCGTACAGACAGATGTGCATCAGAATGCTTTCTCCTGACAAACGGTGCTCTCTGCTTTTTTTCCCCCAGCATGTTGCCAACATGATGTTGCGGATGAAGAGGGAGTTTGCTGGCACTCAGAATCAGATTCTACCGGTGTTTGATACTCTTCTTCTCCTGGACCGTAATGTTGACCTGCTGACCCCCCTCGCTACGCAGCTCACCTACGAGGGACTTATTGATGAGATCTATGGAATAAATAATGGTCAGAATATAATTTTTTTTATCCTAACTGTGGAGAATATAAAGCGATATACATCCTCAGCTTGGATTAATTACATATAATAGCAGTTTTCTACTAACTCTTACAGGATACGTCAAGCTCCCTCCTGAGAAGTTCGCACAGAAGAAGCAAGGTGAAGGTAGCAAAGATTTGCCTACGGAGCCCAAGAAGTTGCAGCTGAACTCCGCTGAGGAACTGTACGCGGAAATCCGCGACAAAAACTTCAACGCTGTTGGCGCAGCGCTCAGCAAAAAGGCCAAAATTATATCTGCAGCCTTCGAGGTTGGTCTTTAGCTTCCGTTTTTACTGGTTTTATTATTATTGTTGTTATTATTATTTTGGAGTTGTTTTAAAATTTACCTAAAATACGTGTTTCTATAAAAGTACGAAATTTGATTTAAGTATACTCTGCATCTGGAATGGAATGAAAAAAAAAAATACTTGTATTTCCAAACTTTACTCTCTATCCCATCCTGAGATTTTCAGTCATAAAGTATTGAGTGTTTTTAAGATCTGTAAACTGAGGTTTGTAGAAATATGAAATTTTAACGTGAAGAAGATGCAGTAACCACTGATGGCATTCCTTTAGTTTCCCAAAAGCTTATAAAAAAACAATACCAGCTATTTACTGAGTTCTTATCAAGTAAACAGTAACAACATTGCAACTCTTCAGTATATTCATCTGCATTAAAATATTAACTTAAAAAAAATTGCTTATCTAGCTTTTAAAAACTTATGAACTTTTATGTTTATATATACATTTAGTTCTTATCTTTTGGTGTGTCTTCTAGTTTTGGTTGCCTTTTTGGAGGTAGTAGCTTCCATTATCTAAAATCATTTACCAAGTTGTTAAAAAAGTTAATTTTTTCTACGTTTAAACTCCCTTGTGGTCTTTCCCTTCCAGGAGCGCCATAATGCTAAAACGGTGGGCGAGATAAAGCAGTTTGTGTCTCAGCTGCCTCACATGCAGGCAGCTCGGAGCTCGCTGGCCAACCACACGTCCGTTGCTGAGCTGATTAAAGACATAACCAGTGAGTATTTTACTCCGGAGGTTCATTAAAACATATGACTTTTTCCACTACTAGCTAAGCAACGACCTAAATATACCCAGTTTCCATCAAGTATCATCAACTTCACTCACTATGATCTCTATTTATCATCTTTTAACGTGTGTATGCTATATTCTGAGAATTTCTGTGTGCACATGATAAAATCAAACACTTCCTGGTTTCAGCATCTGAGGCCTTTTTTGATAACCTGACAGTGGAGCAGGAGTTCATGACGGGCGTCGACACAGACAAGGTAAAAAAAAAAGAAAAAGAGATTGTTTTTAAGCCTAATGCTTTAAATAAGTTAACTCCGATCATTTTAATTAAATGAAATCCCTTACTTTCCAGGTGAACACATACATAGAAGACTGCATCGCCCAGAAGGATCCACTAATCAAGATTCTGCGCCTGGTGTCCATGCAGTCAGTGTGCAACAACGGCCTCAAGCCGAAGGTGCTCGACTACTACAAGAGGGAGATACTTCAGGTGGGGTTAAGAAGAAAAAGGTTTGGAGTTGTTTTTTTCTTTTTTCTTCCTTATTCTGTTTTGCTAAAAGAAAAATGATGCTTTGTCTTTCAGACTTATGGCTATGAACACATACTAACGCTGAACAACCTGGAGAAGGCGGGTCTTCTGAAGCCACAGGCAGGCTCCAGAAATAACTACCCTACCATTAGAAAGACCCTCAAGCTGTGGATGGAGGACGCCAACGAGCAGGTCGGCCATGAACGAGTGCTCAAGATCAAAATCATCCCGTTTTAAAGGGTTTCCCTTGAGCAATTTTTCTGCTTACGTCCACAGAACCCAAACGACATCTCGTACGTGTACAGCGGCTACGCTCCGCTCAGCATCCGGCTCACTCAGGTGCTGGCAAGGCCGGGCTGGCGCAGCATCGAAGAGGTGCTAAAGATGCTCCCGGGCCCGCACTTTGAGGAGAGACAACAGCTCCCATCTGGACTTCATAAGAAACGTAAGTGCTAAAGAGGAGTTGAACTTACTCTGGGTGTCTTTTTACTTTCCGATTTGAGAAACCAGCTGTCTGGATCATTGATGGGTTGTGTTGCACAAAATGTGCTTTTTTGAGTTTTACATTATGTTATTAGGTCATTCCCTCATCAAAAATTTACTTTGAGCGTCTTTGTGATTCTTTAATCCACATTTGAAGAATCACTGAATCAGCTCACAAAGTGCCGCATATTTCCCCAAAGCTCCTCCTTGCAGTCTCCAGCTGAGATCACGCCTCCCCTTTGTCTCCCCTGCTCAGCTCCTCCAGACCAGCGGCAGCAGCAATTAGCAAACATCTGGCGGAACTGTTGATCTTATAACATGAGTTTCTTCTCAGTACAGTGCTCTTAAGAATGGTTGTACAAGGCATAAGAAGAAAGGCGTTGTTGTGACGATGTGCTGAAGGTGACGATGGAAAGAGCAGGAGACTCTTAAAGAGATAGAGGCCAAATTCAAGGAGTCAAATGTCTTTTTAAGTCATCTTTGATATATACAGCATTTTTATAATAGCTAAAGGCAACATAGTTACCTAATTGTGCTATAAAATCCCACTATGTGCCTGAAAAAATACACAATACCGCCCCTTTAAGAGCTGTTCTTCTACCTCCACCTTGTCAAGAGGCTGTGTTTGCGCCCACATTTGTCTCTTATCTTGAACACAATCTGTATTTTTCGGTTTCAGTAAAAGTAACCATGGTAATTCACCCTCGTACGACGCAAACCGCCTTCCCGACTGAGCACCCAGAGTTGAACCTTTGAGTTATCGTGCTGAGACGCTAATCCTGCTGCCGGGCCGCTGCTCATCCTAGAGTGAAAACAGTCGTCTGTCTGCCCCGCGTAGATAAGACGCAGGCTTTGCTTTAGGGAAGGCGAACGCTGAACAGTGGAAGATTGATGTCTGGGACCTGACAATGCAACCGAGTTATCGTCAATGTCAGATCACTAGATGGATTACAAAATATGCGTGTTTTCTCTCAGTGGTTTATTTTAGGCAGCAGAAGATCTTAATAATACATTTTAATTAGACACTTTAAAATGAGCTAATTGGAAGTGTGTGTTTGGGAATTAGATGGCTGACTCGTTGCTACATGCCCGCTTTCAATTGGTTATGGAGGTGATAATAGGAAACCTTAATTTAATTGCTGACTGTTTTTTTTGTTTTGTATTGTTTTGTACTTTGGTGGAAGTTGAGTTTTGTTCTGATTTGACCAGAGCGTCTTCTTCCACACTTTTCACTGTGTCTCCAAATGGACGCTTAAGTGTTAACTAGATAACTGGTGGTGGCAATTGATTGCACTGGGTTTCAGAATAAATGGGCTCAAAACAAATGTACGCCACACTTTTAAGATTTTTACTGGCAAAAATAATAACAAAAATTCTTCTTCTATGGGCATGAACACTTTTGAAAGTAAGTTGATTGATAAGAGTTTTTTTCCCCCCATCCTTTTCCACTCTTTGAGTTCATCTTCTCTTCTAACCTCCCGCAGGCCAACAGGGGGAAAACCGAACCACGCTGGTTTTCTTCCTCGGCGGGGTGACGTACGCAGAAATAGCCGCTCTGCGTTTCCTCTCTCAGATGGAAGACAGCGGCATGGAGTACATCATAGCCACTACAAAACTCATCAACGGCACCACTTGGGTCAAATCCCTCATGGACAGACCTGAATCTCAGATTCCCTGAGCCTCCTACACGTACAGCAACCCCCACTTCCACGTGTAGGGAGTGTCATGTGTGAATACTTTTGGCTTCAAGCGCAATTTACATCTGTCTATAATAAGTTTGCTTGCTGATGGCAACTGGACAACAGAGATAACCCTGGATTTATACTGTTACATGACTGCTTAGCTAAAGATATTCTGTATATATATGTTTGTATGCCTTGTAAAGAATCAAATAAAGAGTCACTTTGATTTGCTTAGAAAACTTGAGTGTTTTTTTTTGTTTTTGCAATCTGCTTTTTTCTGATGAAGATGGGTAAATAAAACTTTAATCAACTAGAATTAGTTTTGCTACATTAATAAGCATTTAGCCATTCGTCCTGTTTTGTGTTTTGTTTGCATCGTTTTATTTTTTTGTTTTGTTTTACAAGACAGTGAATCCATCAGGCGTGGTCCTGCTCTCTGAAGGAGCAATTAGCGCAGTAACAGGCCTGCCGATCAGCCGATAATAGCCCTGCGCTGTCTGGAGAGCTCAGCCCATGGCGGCTCGTGATTTGACAGAGCAGGACGCTGATTTAATTAGGAGGCCATTTGCTCCATGTTCCGGTAGAGGATAACTGTGCTGCAGGAGGGTGTTTGATATCTGCATCAGTCAATACCTTCAGCTGCCCTAAACTGTACACCAAGGGAGACCTGCTGAGAGATATTTTTGGGAAACTCTTGTCGAGTCGATGTTAATTTTCCTTCCTGTTGATGAGCTGGAAACCTTGGAAGCTACTTTGGTTAGATTTTACACACACACACAAAAAAAAAAAAAAAAATCTTACACTTCTCTTTGTTTGAGGAGCAGGTGCATGGAAGACGTAAACTAGCTCTATATCAACCCTGGGAGATTTAGATGCTTGTGATCAGTTTCTGATTTTAGCTCCTCCTCTACTAGAAGGGCTCAAGACGCACAACATTGCACACACCTACTTTGAACTTCAGAAGAGACTCAGGAGCATCTGATCAGCTTTTTGTCCTGTTGCAGCAACACCAAGGTAGGAATTTTTCTTCCACACAAATTTAACCTTTGACTTTTGCTGCAGTTTCTGTGATGCAAATAAAAATGTTTCATGGCCGACATCGTAATAGTGTTGATCAGTACTAACTATCGCACAAGACATTGCATTTATGTTTGTGTAAATGCTAATTTAACAGTTTATATTGGGCTACAAATATTTTTGTGACGCTTCATATTTGGTAGTTTGTTTTTCTTCTTAATACTATCTGAAAAGAAGACATGAACGATGCTCAAGTTGATGACTGCACACAAACATAGCAGATCAATAGGACCCACTTGAGTGCAATTTAAACATAAATTATTAACCACACCTTGTGCCTCAGAGAAACTTACTGTAAAGCTCAGGACTCTGAAAGCTAATCCTTCAGATCAAATGAAAAAAATCTTGGTTTTATTTTTTATTCTAATTTATGTTTTATACCTCCCAGGTGAAAAGTTCCCAAGACGAAATGTGATCGATTAGGGAGTTCAACCGTTTCTCCCTGCAGTTCAGACTCTTAATAGATGCTTTTGTCTCTCTGGGTCTTACTTGCGTTAAAAAAAGAACATAGCTTCTCTACAGCCATGACAAAACTCAGCTGAGAGACTGTTGATGGAGAGAAAAGAGCTCACGTTCTCACATCTCTGTGTTGTGTGGCTGTATGTGAGTCTGAGAATTGGTTTTTAATGTGGTTCTGGTTACTTTTAAATCACAGCTCCACATAATTTACCAGATCCGCTGCTCATGTCACACACAAGCCACCCGCCTCGGGACTTTCATTCGCTTCTTCCTTTCAGTAGAGAAAATGAAAAGATTATTTTTAATCTAAAGTGTCCATGAGTTGAATGTTGAATTTAAATGTGCATTTAAATGGTAGAGTCATTATTTGCATTTTAATGATTACAGCCATCATTAGTTTGTTTTTTGAAGATGTGCCTAAGGGATACATCATGAAAATATATTTATTTTAACACTTTGTCGTATTGCGTCAGGTCACTTAATGTATGTGAGATTAAAAAAAAAATCACTTAGTTCAAACTAATCCAGCTTGAAGTTGTTTGAATCAGTCTTGATCAGAATATCGAAGTGTACAAAGAACATTTCCTGTAACAAAAAATAAATACAATCAAGGTCAGTTCTTGTGCATTTCTTAATGCACAAGAACATTTCTTAATGTTCTTGTGTGTTTTGGGTAGTTTTAATCAAAACTACCCAAAACATCTAGAGGTTTCAAAACTTGAGTGAGAATATGTAGGATCCCTGCAAGATGTATTTTTCTCTTTACCATCATGTTTTCTTGTAAATTAATGTGTGTTTTCATCTTACTGTTAGCTCCATTTTGTTCTAATCAATATTTTTTTGATGTGATGTCCCAGATCAAATTTGTGTTGCAGGATGGATCAAGATGAGAAGATGAAGCGCCTGGACGTGGAGCCCCTGTTTGTGCGCTTCCTCAGGACACTCAAGGAACTCCTGAAGTTCGTTCTCCTCAGCTACACTGTGATCTTCGGCGCTTTGCTGCTGGCCAGGTGGACCACTTACTTTATCGTGGGAAAGTGAAAGAAGTGGAAGAATGAGCTTCTTCTCGGGTTTAGAGCTGAGACTCTTTGAACCAACTTGCCTAATGCAGTCGCTGTAGCAAGAAGAAAAGATTTGTCTCATCTCCTTTCGCTCTCTGTTTTTTTCTGCCTTTTCGAACAGAATCAAAACGATGCACTTAGAGGTTCAATAAAATGTGTGATTGTTGATGCTGAGACTGACTGCGCAGTTCATATTATGTAACACAGCCACAAATGATGGCAACTAGCTCATTTCTATAGCTGTGAACAGAAAATAATGTATACTTTAAATAAATAAAAGTTTGCTATAACAGGACACTTTGACCATTTCTTCTAGCCACTGTCTGCATGGCTGGAGGAAGAACCATACTTATCTTGCCACCACGTACCATGATGAGGATGAAGAAAGGATAAAATAAATCTGGTGTCTTTCAGTTCCCAAGTCTCTACAATAAAGTTACACACTATGTTCATGCCATTTTGATTTAGGAGGTATGAAAAGTTGAATGTTTTCCTTCTTAACTTCACAAATGTAAAAATGTGAAGATTTGTAAATTTGCAAATAACGGTATGTTTGATCATGTGAGAGTGAGATTGAAATGAGTGAAAACATCCCTCTGCTTACTGTTAAGTGCGGAGGGTTTTTCTTATTATTATGTGGTCTTGTTTTTTCTTTCACTACTCTACAGACCTTGTAGGGTATCGGTATTGTGTATTGGATGTTTTTTTTGTGTGTGGGTTTTAGAGAGATTTTGCAAATAAACATGATCAAATGTCCTGCCCTCTATATGCTCAGCGTTTATTATATTGTTGCTATAGAAGAAACTTAATTCCTGTTCTACAGTGGGAGGAAAAATAAAAGTGAGTTTTCTGGTTCTAGTGAGTGCACGAGGTTGGTTCGATTTTTCTAACTGAATAGCTGAGAAGGGCGGGGCTCATGCGCGAGATTGTTTATATAACAAAGTTTTCACTTTTTGGAACACATCAGTTAAAAAATAAATGAAAATCTAGACATAGTTGCATTTAGGAACTTTTATTTTGAGTCGGGCATCTTTCGCTTCAGCTTCGACTTGAAATGAATGGAGCACCGTCTGCTCTCTAATTCCTGCCGAGCGCCGCCCGCGTAGCGCCATTTTGAAAGTGTAGAGCTTGGAGGAGGCAGATGCGAGGGAAATCTCAAAGTGCAGTGCAAAGTCTGTAGACCAGTACTGAACGCTGTGTGTTAGTCTTTCAGTGTTGTAAAAAAGTAGCGTCGTGTTTTAAGCAGCCGCTGGACTGAGGGCGTTTGGAGTTAGCAACAGCCTCATTCCTCCACTGCTCCTCGGTCAGAACCACCCCAACCGACCCGGGTCAGCAGCACTGCTTCAGTCCAGGGCCTGAACCTGCTACAGAGAGCCCAGTCCCTCACCATGGCAGGTAAAAGAAAACTGTCAGAACGTACGTATGAGCTATTCTTACTAATCATCATGCTTAATAGCACACATGCTGCTTTAGTCTCCCTCTGTTGTGGTCAAGAGCAGGAAGCTAACTAGCGAGCTAGGATACTGCGAGATTCCCGTGTGAATTCCTTACAGCCCGAAAGTGAGCTAACCTAACGCATCCCAACTTCTTGTTTAGGAGGATTTTCTCCCCGCAATTACAATGTGCAGTTCGTATGAAATCGCGCATCGCCTTGCTGTCGCAGTGCGCTAAATTAGCTTCTAGCTATATTCAGTGTGTTGCCTTTGGCGGCGGTGTGTCAAAACTTAAGGTTCGTGTTGCGTGCAGGGCCCGGTGGTGGGAGCAGCGATGTGCAGTGGTGCTTCTCTCAAGTCAAAGGAGCGATGGATGATGATGTGGCTGAAGGTGAGTACATTTGGGCATTATTAAGTCTGAGTATGCTTCTTGTTTGTCCCCATATACTTAGCATATTTTCTTTTTGAGTTAGTGACTCAGGGTTCAGTTCTACCCTTGCATTGTGATTTCATAAACAAACTACTTACTACCAAAGTGCTTAAAAACCATTTCTAGTCAGTTTACTACACTTTGTAGCAGAACTGTAGATTATTTTAGTTTTGCTGTGGTTGCACTGATGCGCTGAAGCTTTCTGGTTAGTTGCACACACTTTTCACCTTTTCTTTAAAAGTCTGTTTTGTTTTTTTTTGTCATTTTCTGTTCAGATTGACTGTAATGTAAATAGGATTGTAGTGGTATTACAAATAAAATATAAAGAAATGATTGCTTGGTTGGTTTAGATGGATACTGAAACCTCCCATATTTATGTGTTTTCATTCATTATGGAGGTCATAAACATGATCACATCTAAATTGTCAATTATTTTGTAAAAAAAAAAAAAAAATCTTCATTACACTGCAGTCTGCTGGAAAATAGTATTTATTGGAGTTATATGAGCACATTTCCTTTCTTGGGGGTAGATTAGTAGAAAATTACTTTAAATCATCAGTTGTCTGATTAAGTATGAAATGGCCCCATCAGATGCAAATTCATGTTTGCTCCAAAATCCTGAGCTCAGATGCAGCTGCAAAAGAACAAAAATGACAACAGAGGATAAATAATAAGCATCCTTATATAGCATTTATTTTGAGGTGTAAAAAAAATGTTTGCTGCTTTTTCCGTTTCGTATTCTGACTTACCAAACAGAAAAGATGCATAGTTATCCCTTTTCCTCCGAAGAGCTGGTAGTCTGTTTGATACAAATATACAGGATCTTTTTTTTTTTTTTTTTTTATCCTAGAGGTCCATTTGCAAAGTTTAGGGTTTCAATGTTTTATGGTGTTTGGATGTTTTCAGCACTTTACTCTTTTCACTTTCTAGCTGTACAGATTGAAGTTATTTTAGGATTTCTGTTCGGTGTCTTTTGTCAGTCTTCGTCATCTTCAATTCAAACGAAAAAAGAAGTGCTTACGTGTGTGTGTGTGTGTGTGCACAGTACTTAGCCGAGGATTCGGAGTTGTTTATAGTAAGCTGCAACTGAGAACAAGTACATGTGAGAGCTTCTCCTTGTGGTAATGCATGGCTGCACAGACGCTACCGTTGTAGTTTATTTAAATCCTGAAAAGATTGATCTGCTTCTGTCAGCCTCTTTTTATTGTACACAATGGTTTGCATGGAGCCAGGTCGTATCTGGCACTCGGTGTGTGCTGCACTGGAATGACCCCCATTGTCTTCATTAAGGGTTTCCCTGGCACATACCAGTGCCAGCCTGCAAGTGAATATCAATTGTTGTCGTCTGGTATGTAAGTGATGCACAGCTGCAGATGGAAACAAACTTTTTTTTTTCCCCCTAAGTTGTGTTCAGTGTACACTGATTTTCACCACATTAAAACACTTTAGTGCGTCAGTGTCGTGTTGTGACTTCACCATGCTCGATTTAGTCTTCACCATCAAATGTACTATGCCTTAATGCTGTTTAGTAATTTTCTACGTTTGCATCTTGAGTTGGTTTTTAATTATTATAACTGCCTTTGCAGCTGACATTATATCTACTGTTGAATTCAATCACACTGGGGAGCTGCTTGCCACTGGGGACAAAGGAGGTCGTGTTGTCATCTTCCAGCAGGAGCCAGAGGTATGTGATTCACTTACAGTGTCTCACTCAGGTACTCTTACCCCTTGAACTTTTTCAGAGGTCCTCTTTCCAACCACAAACTTGAATTTGCCCCACTGGGAGTTTAAAGCGTTAAAAAAACAACACAAAGTAGCGCGTACTTGTGAAGTGGAAACAAAGAGATGCTTGGTTTTAAACGGTATGCAGTCTGCGTGTAATAAAGTTAGTCAGTACATTGTAGAGTCATCTTTTAAGTGTTTTCTGGGTTCGTCTCTACCAGTTCTGCACATTTAGGCTCTGACATTCTGGCACATTTTTGCAAAAATAGTTTAGTTCGATTTAAAGCAGTTGTGACTTTACACAGATCTTTATTTGGATTTAGATATCAACTTTTTGTGGGTCATTTGAACATGTATAAATAAATTAAATTTTATTTATGAAGCCCTTTGGTTTGTACGGAGCAACAACAACTAATAATACTAAACATAAAATTGACACATTTAAACAAAAAAAATTAGCTCAATATAAGTAGCAAAGCTATCCAAGTAATAATAAAGCAAAAATAAAAATAACAAAATGATCAGAAATTTACAATTTAATAAAAACTTTTCAAAGAGTGAGACTGGAAGTATAAAACCTATAAACCATTATATGTTCTTGAAGTTTGATGTAAGTGCCAGTAAGCATGCTCTGCTAACCAGTTTGACCTCTGACATCAATTAAATGAATTGGACTTTCAGTGTTAGAGTAAAAAAAAATCTAAATCAGGTTTTTACTTGTAAAAAAAAAAACACAATAAGAAGCATTGAAGTTTGCAGTTACATGACATAAAAAATGTTTAAGGGTATCGATGCTTTGATATGACACTGTTATGTAAAAGCATAACAGTGCTTTGACATAACAGCACTTTCTATCATCTTTCTGATAGAAATACATTTCTATCAGAGAGATCTTTCTCTATTTAAAATTAATACTGTGCTTGAAAACAGAAAAAATGAAAATTTTCTGAACATTTTATTCAGAATTACCTCTCAACTTGAGTCATTGTTGAAAACGTTGTCTGCTCTTGTGCAGAGTAAGAACCAGCCTCAGTGCAGAGGAGAGTACAATGTTTATAGCACCTTCCAGAGCCACGAGCCCGAGTTCGACTACCTGAAAAGTCTTGAGATTGAAGAGAAAATCAACAAGATTCGATGGCTACCTCAGAAGAATGCAGCACAGTTCCTTTTGTCCACAAATGGTTAGTAAATGTTTTTGATTCTGAATTATTTCAATCAATTTTACAGGATAAAGTTTGCAACGTTTTCTTTTTTTTTTTTTTTACTCCACTTTTTCATCTGCCTGAGAAATATTCAGTGTAGCAGTCAAGTGGTCTTAAGTTGCTTTTGTCACTAAAATGTGACTGATATCTAATCTTTTTTTTTTTTTTTTTTTTTGGGAGATAAAACTATCAAGCTGTGGAAAATTAGTGAGCGAGACAAGAGACCAGAGGGCTACAATTTGAAGGAAGAAGACGGGCGATACAGAGATCCCAATTCTGTCACAACACTGCGGGTGAGTAGTAACCGCGCTCTCGCATTATAAATATAAACTATATCGTGTCTGGGAAGTGAATAGTTTTAAATGGTTTCCATTTGAAACGCATTGCTTTCCTTTCACTAAAGCTGCTTGTTCCTCCAGGTGCCGGTGTTGAGGCCCATGGACCTGATGGTGGAAGCCAGCCCCAGACGAGTGTTTGCCAACGCTCACACATACCACATCAACTCCATATCGGTCAACAGTGACCATGAGACCTATCTGTCTGCAGACGACCTGCGCATAAACCTCTGGCATCTGGAGATCACCGATCGCAGCTTTAGTATCCTTTTGGTTCTCAAATCCTCACGTCTGTCGCACAAGCGACGAGGAGTTCTCCAGTCGGGACGTTTGATCTCTGATCTCAAGTCTTGACACTCGGCGAGAAGCGTTTGCTGATACTTTGTCCCAGTTTGATACTTTGTATAAATCTGTGGCATGTATACATGTGAATGTGGTAAAATATCAAGCTGTGGCTCATCAATATACAAAGCTGATATGACTATTGTTATGGTGTCAAACTCATTCATGAAAGATGCTTATGGCATTGAAGCCATATCACTTTCTCCTGATTGTTAAAATGCTCCTTTATTTTATATATATATAGTGTCATAGTTTTTATGACACTAGAGATGCAAATTTGATGCAAATCATTTGTTTCAAAAGATTTATATCTCAACACATACAGCTGCAGTTTTGAATAGACACACCCAACGTTGCTACATTAGCATGTTATCTGCTTTGATGTGACGACTTTGTTAGTTTGGCTTGTAAAATATTATAATCTGACTCTTGTCTGAGTTAGTAATCAAGTACTCCATGGATTAATCTCTTGATCAATGTTATAATCAGATATATATACGTCCTACTGCAGGCATTCTAACTTTTATCTCTTGTAATTCACTATTTAAGTACACGTTAAGATCTGTGCCCCCCCGTGTCTCAATCAGAACTGTACATGCTCAAGCATATGTGCATTACCCAGCCCATCATCTAAAATTAGTTTCGAATGAATTATTGTTTATTATTTTGGTGTTGTTTGCAGCGCCATGTTACAGACTTTAGTTTATCTTCACAAGGTGCTTGTAGAGAGGGTTAGGGTCAGGTTAACTTTTATCTAAGCTTTTTGAAATTGTTGATTTGACACCAGATAAAATTGAAGGAAGATGAAATCCTTTTAGAAATGCTGAGATGGAAATAAAGCTAGGTTTCTTTTGTAACATGACTACAAAGCATGTTATGTAACTGCATTCATTGTCCCCAGTGAAACACATGACCACTAAAGCAGTTAAATGAAGCAATGAGTCAGATTTTTGCCTAGAATTATTATTCATTTTTCTTTTTTTTTTGTTTTTTTTTAAGTCATGCCATGCTTTATTTTGCCACAAGAGGTCACTGATGAACTACGAGATGCTGAGATAGTTGCTGTCATAGACGAAAGTTGTTGTTGTTGTTTTTTTTTTTTATGCCATCTTGTTTCTTTTTGTCTTGTCCTTCCTTGGAGTAGCTGTCGTTTTGGACCTTGACCTCTGTTTTTCCAGATATTGTTGACATAAAGCCAGCGAACATGGAGGAGCTGACAGAAGTGATCACGGCTGCAGAGTTTCACCCCGACCAGTGCAACACTTTTGTTTACAGCAGCAGCAAGGGAACCATCCGCCTGTGTGACATGAGGGCATCAGCACTGTGTGACCAGCATGCCAAAAGTAAGTCGCTTATAACAAATACATGTTTGAGAGAAGGAAAGGAATACACAATATTCCTGTCATCCCAATTTTCTTGTATTGGGATGAGAAGTATCTTAATGCTTCACAAGACCTTAAAATTTGTTCAGAGTAAAAATTATGGATTTTTTTTTTTTTAGTACGCATTGTAATTAACAGCATTCAAAGTGTTAACTTTTTGCTTGAGTTTCATCATGAATCCTCTTGTTTTTCTCTATTGGATGTCCTACATTGAAGAGCTTCGAAGATTTTTGAACTTCATTTTAGATTATAAATATTTGTTTTCATTGGTATTGTTTTTTACTGATGCAACATAGTGAATGAAACTAAAGTCATATATATGGAACGGCTTGTTTCCACTATATAGTTTTTAATTCACTAACAATTATTCAGAAAAGACACACACTTTAGCCCATTTTAAGTTTTGCTCCCAGGATCTTAGTTTTATTAAATTGTGGCTCTTACAGCGTTAAATCAGCAGAATAACATCTCAACATGTATCCTTTTTTTAATTCAAAGTGTTTGAGGAGCCAGAAGACCCAAACAACCGTTCGTTCTTTTCTGAAATCATCTCGTCCATCTCCGATGTCAAGTTCAGCCACAGCGGACGGTACATGATGACGCGAGACTACCTGTCCGTCAAAATTTGGGATCTGAACATGGAAACCCGGCCAGTAGAGACATATCAGGTTTGCCGCTGCAAATGTTATTTTAATTTTTTATGCTTTGGGAAGAGATCTGCCAATCTGAGATTTGTGGCCAGTTTCAAATGTTTGCTTTTTGTAAGAATTTGATCCCACAATTTAGATTTTTAGCCATTCAGATTTCTTCATCAATATATTCTTCTGTGACCCTTCTGGTGTGAGCAGTTTATTATTCATTTATTTTGGTAGCAGTAGCAAAGTCGCACCATTTGTAGAGAAAAGTCACTGTAAAATGGGGTTACTAATGATTTGGTGTTGAGATTTAAATTCGTCGTTAGCATTTTATGTTTAGTGAATGTGAACGGTATTTCCATGAGCATTACCTAGAGAACGTAGATCCTTTTACGAATCAATAAAAAGGATTGCGTTTTTGAATTTCCAGCCTGCTTCTGACAGATCAGGCCTAATAAAACTTAAATCTGGTTAAATCAAACCACTAACTGATTTTTCTGTATTTCTCTACCTGTTAAGAGAACAAAAAAAAAAAAAAAAACACTGTGCTGTTTTCACCTTTGCTTCATGTGATTCGCTGTTCTATTTTACCAGGTGCATGAATATCTCAGGAGTAAGTTGTGTTCACTTTATGAGAACGACTGCATTTTCGACAAGTTTGAATGCTGCTGGAATGGCAATGACAGGTTAGTCAATCAACCCCGGCAATCAGAAAATTACTTTTCATCTCCTGTAACACCAAAATCATTCACAAATGACGTCCCTTTCTCCCCTTTTCCGTGGATTATGATTGAGATCAGTAGTGAAAGTAAGATCCGAAGCGGCTCCTCATGATTGTCTGTTTCCACAGCGTTGTGATGACTGGTTCCTACAACAACTTCTTCAGGATGTTTGACAGGGACTACCGGCAGGACGTGACCTTCGAGGCGTCACGGGAAAACAGCAAGCCGCGGTCGGTCCTGAAGCCTCGCAAAATAAGCACAGGTGGGAAGCGCAAAAAGGATGAGATCAGTGTAGACAGTCTGGACTTTAACAAGAAGATCCTCCACACTGCCTGGCATCCGCTGGACAACATCATTGCTGTGGCCACCACCAACAATCTGTACATATTCCAAGACAAACTGAACTAAAGTCCATTAACCCACTCAGATCCCGATTTCTTCTTTAGCCCTCTTTTCGCTCTCAGATTGAAACAAAATCCGTCTTAGTCCAAGCCCCTGAAGCTTGATCAAATCTGTCCTTTTGATTATGTGAGAAGACTTACTTTGTAAACGGTGCCATACATCCAGCCAGGCCATAGAAAAAAAAAAGCATCATAGTGTGCTGTTAGTTTCTTCCATTAGAAGCACTCCATCCATCGGGCTTCCATTTCTAACTCTACTACATCCCAAACCAAAGGGAAAATCTACGTTTTATCGCTTGTTCGTGCCATATTGACATGATTCATTTGTCTGTTATTCCTACTGGTTAACTTTCTGTTCGTTTTGGTTTTGTCTTCCTGTCACCAAGTTCATTTTTGTACTGCCCTGATTCATCAATACAAAGCTGTCGATTCTTTTATTTGCCCAACAAGTATCAAGTTGCCAAGTTCTTTCCTTATGTACTGTATGATTATTGTTAAAGGACTAATTTAGCATTTCATTATGTTTAGCTCATTGTCTAAAAGAAAAAAGAAAAAAAAACTTTGGATAAATAATATCAAAGCTAACAGAGTACAAATATTTTTGATTTTTTTTTTTTTTTTTAACTTTGACTCAGCTGCTTGTTTACATTCATCTCTCTTCTTTAAGAAAATCTCCTGGGTTTGATTTTACATTTCTATAACGCATTGTATCGAGTGTTTTGGCCATTTGTTTCGATATAGGATACATCCTGCAAACGACTTCGATTCATTCAAGAGCGGTCTTGTTGAAGCGGCCTGTCATTCGAGTTCAATGTTCACCACACACTCGTTCAAGCGAGCCCATTATCGGCGACAGAGAGAGCCAGGAGATGTCCTTGATATTTTTTATTCACTCAGGTTTATGGGGCAGCACTAGAAAAATGGGTGTAAAACCAAAATGTATGACAGGTTTTCTTACAGAAGTGTGTTTTATCACTGTAATTCTGCTGTGGTTGAGTTTGTAGTAAATGGAAGTAGGTGAAATGTTCCTTTTCTACATGTGTCAGTTTTGTCACGCTGCTCTCAAACCGTTTGATTTCATTTCCCCAGGCCAGGCTTCATCTGCCTGTCGGAGCGTCCTTACTCACGCCTTCGCGTATTGTACGGATAAACTGTAGAAAGTTCGGCAGAGGTTCACAGATCTGGTTGATATTATGTTGTTGACTTTAGTTTTCTTTTCTTTTCTTTTTTTTTTTTAGACTTTGAATAGCAGAAATGTGTTGCAGGTTTGTTTGGTTTTTTTTTAGTTTTGATAGAGATAGCAGTTCTCAATCCAAAAGAAAATGAAGTGCAACACAGTACGTACATTAATTAGACTGAAAAAAATAATTGGGATTCTGAGTTTGATATTGATGGGGGAGGGTCTGGGTTTTTTTTTGTTTGTTTTTTCTTTTCAGTGTTTGACCTGCTAATCGCCACCCGAACCAATCAAGAAAAACATTCTCTGATTCCATCTCCGTTAAGCCCAAGTTTCCCATCACTTCCACTTAAGATCGGAAGGGAAACAAGTTTCAGACAGAAAAGCTTTCCGTAGAAGTCTGGATACTGCTCTCACTTATTTGATGTGATTCTCCTGAAAGGGAGATCAGATGAATAAAAGCCTTTGCCTAACTCTTAGATCTTACCAAATAATGTTGTCAGGAAAAGTATTACAAATACCACTCTACCATAATTTGCTATGGAGGTTTTTTTTTTTTTTTTTTTTTTTTTTTCCTTAAAATTAGGGTGTCCTATCCCAAAGTTCCTGTTTTTTTAAAACAAAAAAAAAAAA